TTTATGTGGGAGGGAAATTTGTAACCTCCACCTCAATTAACTTTTCACTTTGGCTGGTCAGTGATAATTGCACACCTAGGTGTCGCTCAATTTCTTGTTCATTGAAAATGTGCACAACCTTTCCCCTCTGTTGTTATTATTGGAAAAAACTAGTCCTTGTTTTTTTTTGTGATCAGACAGGCCAGAAAGAGAAAACCTGGTCTGAGTTTTAATTGGTACACTACAAAGCCAAAAGTAGCGGTGTAGTTTAGTTGTAGTCAGGTTGAGGAAGTAAACAAAGAGACAGATTTACGAAAGGAGTCGCTGAGGTTGTGGAACTCGACTGCAGGAAAGTGCGCGACAGATTACTGAACACTGATGTGAGCGAAGCCATTGATCCACCATCAACACACGATGTTTGTGTCAACACAGCTATTGATTTTTGCATTTAATGTGAATATTTGTGATTTATTCCAGTGGATTTCATGTTTTTCCACAGTTACTGCAGAGTTTTAGTTGCAAACGTGATCTTTCACAGTTGTTCTTTCACACTGATTTTCCTCTTGTTATGAACTCCTTCTCTCAGCTCATTGTTTTTCTCTCTTTGCAGATTTTATTCATGAACAAGATAGACCTTTTTCAAGACAAGATCTTGCACTCTGGGCGACATCTGCGGTTGTATTTACCGCAATTTAAAGGTAGGATTGATATTCATTAGGAATGTTATTACCACGGTCAGCATGATAGCATGCAAAAGTCCATGGCTGTGTCCAGAATCACTCAGTAGACAGTAAGTTCACCATCTTGCAGTGCTGTCTGAAAGCACAGTGCATTTAGAGCTGCATAGAAAGTACTGCACAATTTACGGTAACTACCCAAACATTGAATACCATCATGAAAAACAGCAGATGCATCACGGCCTGAATTTGTCTTTAGATGCTCGCTATCATATGTGTTTATAATAAAAAATTAATGTTGGTATTTATCTGTTTGGCCAACACTGAGCTGCCAGGTTTTAGTGTTTAAAAATCATCAATACTATGTCAAAACTTTTTAAACTATCAAGAGTTAAATGAAGCTCACACGTTTTACAAATATAGGTATTTGCTGTCATAAAAGCATAAATTTAGTCCAGCGTCACCTAGGGGATTTAAATGCGTACATTGAATGATGAGCTCTTAGCCTGCTGCAAACTGTGATATTTTGGGGGGATTTCTGCATCTGCTCAACATTTCACTTCTCGTGTCTCAGTGGGCTCAACAGGGGCCGTGTCCCCTCTGCTCGCATGCAAATGTCAATAAAAATGCTAAAACACTTGGGATTGGGGTCAGCCTGCAGAGCAAGAGTCTATTTCACACTGACCTCAGATGTGATGATGAGTAATACAGCGGCTCCCGGCATTTTTATGTGTGTAGGTTGTGTTTTTGTTTGCTTGGAGCTGACAGAAGTTGGATGGCTGGACTGTTGATTCATTATTTTCTAGTTTAGCTTCTCTGCTTGGTTAGTATCAGTCGTGGAAATGGACTAAGTGCATTTATTCAAGTGCTGTTATTAAGTCCAATTTTGAAGCAAGCTGCTGCGCACAGACACACAAATCTGCTAATTAGTGCTTAGTAACAGACTAATGAAACACTAGAATTTCACTTATTAAAACTGAAGCACAAACTTCAAGCTGTTATTTGTCAGATAATGCCATTTATTGCTTGAAAAAGTACCAACAGCACAAACACAGATGAGAGGTCCAGTTAGGTTAGTCAGATATGGTTGGGAGGAGGCTTGGTGGACAGCTGTCTGCTCCAGCTGCCCTGTGTGGGTACACCTTTAATTTAAAGCCTGTGACCACGTAGTTTTCTCTTGAATTAAGAAAATATCCAAACAGTAGAGTTATTAAAAAAGATCTTTCTACTTCATCCCAGTATTTATTCTTATCTAGTATAAAATGTTACTACAACTTGCTTTTTATTCCTTTCCTCTCTCATAAATCATCTCACGACTTCTTTTATTTTTAGACCCTACTACAGAAGATTCACAGTTCAAAATAATCATTATTTATCATAAACGGCACCTTGGTTTGACCTCTGAATTCGTCCTCTGGCTGAAATAAACTCCTCTGTTTAACTCCTCTCCCTTTAAACCGCTTTTCCTCAGAAGGGCTGCACCTCGCAAACAAAAGGTTTGAACATCAAGCAGGTGGAGCTGCTCGGATATCCGCTCTGTCACATCACAGAGAACAAAAAAACTGAAAAGCAAACCGTTTAAAACTGAGTGTTCAAAGCAGTCTGAACATTCTGCCTCACAGGGATTACTCATGTATGCCTAAATTTAATGATTTAAAAATGCTGGTCGTGATTAAAATGAGATTAAAATAAACATTCACCATTTCAAATCATGACCACTGGCATTACAGTGGAACAGTAATGACAGAAAATAAGGAAAAGTATAATATAACATCTTGTGCAAATTTATAATTTGGCTAAAAAATGGAGATAAACCTAAAAAAAACTTTGGGATTCACCAAATCTACAACCTGATCATTTTTAATAGGAATGAATGCACTGGGCAGCTCAGCAACACCAAAAACATTTGAAAGATAGTAAAGTGCACGATGACAGGATTATTTCCATGGTTAAGAAAATTAACTTTCACACATCTGACCAAGTCATTTACTAATCAGGTTGGTGGTTCGATCCAGTTAACCTTCAGTCACTCGCTGCTCCAACCTCGATGCCAAGATATGTTCACTGGAATGTAAATGCTAGATAGAAAACACTTAGAAAAAAGTACTGATATGAACGGGTGAATAACACGTTTTATAAAACTCAAGTAGAGTAAAAAAAAGTGCTATATAAGAACCTGTCCATCTATTTAAGAAAGCCTCACAAAAGAAACTGAAGGTGGCTGCATCAAAGGCCTAACAGAGCATCTTATGGTAGGAAATGCAGCATCTGGTGATGTCCATGGGTCGTGACCTCGTTCAGACATTTATTTTTTTGTCTTAAAATGGAAAAACTAGTCCTTATATTTCAAATCATGTTAGTTTGTCCAATTAATTATGAACCTCTGACTGTGAGGGACTGAGTATAAACATGGTTGTAACAAAACTAAAGCTGAAAGTTTGCACTTTATTATTTGATTTAAAATTCACTGTGGAGGTGCAAAACTACAAATACGATGTCTTTGTCCAACAAATTTATGGACCAAACTGTAAATAACCCACAAGCAGCTAAGGCAGTAAAATGATGCTTACACACCGCATCAGTTTTAATTCAAATCAAGTGGCAGAAAATGTGCTTAAATATCTGCACCTCAAACTTTTTTGCCTTTTATTACATAATTTGCAATTGTTTTGTCTTATGTCCACTTTCTTGTCAGTGAAAACTTGAATAGTAAAGCTGTTTTTGTAATAGAAAAGTAGAAACTTCCACTGCCTCAGTGGGCCGGTTGCCACTGGTGTCACATCTCCTCCTAAATGCAAATGCATAATTCAGAATTTCATTCTTTTCAACATTAACTAAGCAACTCTGGGAGTTTTTGCAAACACATCTGATCTCTCCCCCCTCATCTTCGTCAGGTGCAGACTGTGACGTGGATTCGGCCGCCCGCTTCATCGCCGTCACCTTCATCTCACTAAACAAAACGCCCAGCAAACTCATCTACCACCACTTCACTACGGCCACCGACACCTCCAACATCCAGATTGTCTTCCAGGTGGTTATGGAGACAATAATCAAAGAGAACCTGGAGGCCGTGTCGCTCCTGTGACTGCGTGTGGACTTTGTCACATTTTAAATACTGAAATATGGAGATCATGTCACGCAAACATGATTCCTGATCTCCCTAATGTGAGGAGAACCCCAGGAGCTCTGCTGCTCCTCTTCGATTTCATGATCACATGTAGCTTCTAAAAACTGTTTCAAAGCAGATTGAAGTGGAGGACCACTCGGTTCATGCTTTGCTCGTGTTGGTCCCCGAAATGTTGACTTTTGAAACCTTTAATTGAAAGTAAAAGGCATTAATGTTTTATACTGTAGATTTATATGAAGTCAAACTATGAAAAGTGACGCTGATTTTTATGTTTGAAGACTGGATATAGATACATGTGGCATTTATTTGTGTCCTCCTCTGTGAACGTGGGGCCAGCATGGAGCGTGGGTGAGGGTTTGTTCAGTAACTTTGGTGGCGCAGTATTCCATCATGCGTTTCCCGCTCATCCATCACTTTGTCTCTGCTGTGCGTCATGCCTGTTTTGTTTTTTTTTGTTTTTTGTTTTTTTAAATGAGGTCTTAATCACTTTAAAAACACACCAGAGTGTGTTGACTTGACATCCTGAGCTAAAAACACCCACATCTGTGCACAGCCCCTCTATCTTCTGATTCCTACCAGTCACACTGATATGGGGAAACTTATTAGAATTTAAAAAGTGAAACGTCTGACTTGTTAATTTCCTTCCCATCACCAATGACAATTATTGTTCCAGTATTACACACAAACCCTGTTTTTGTGTTTTTCAGCCAGGATGAAACCACCTATATGTGATTTGTTTGCAATTAGCTGAGCTGGAGTTTGTTTCCAGGGCTCCCCTGTGCTACTGACTCCAGTAATAAACAAGATATGGTAATGACTGATGCAGTGTGATATGGATACTAAAAAAGAAAAACAGTGAGAAAAACACCCCCAAGTGCCTGATGAAGTTGTTTTACTGTGCTGTAATATAAATGCTTCATACGCATGTATGAAATGTGTTTTTCATTCTTTGTTTCTTCTTTCTGAATTATTTTTTATGTTTACAGTTCATTAAGTGTTACGTCCTGAGACTTACTTTATGGGTTGTACTGAATCTGGAGTACAGAATAAATGTTATGCTGCAAACTCAACGGAAATCATGCAAATGGATAAGATTCAAATAATCCCGTGCTGGACCACTTATGTGTCCCCTGTGCAGTTGAAGATTTAAAGACACAGTTAGACTACACAGCAGGTTACCAGTGTTTGTTCATTTTAATAGATAAAATAAATAAAAGTACTTTACAGTAAATTGCTCTGCAGTCGACTTCTCGTATATTTAATACAGTTTGGCAACACAGGTAAATGTCAGGGTTCAAACACTAAAGATGAGAAATAATTTGGGAAGAAAACGGCTTGAGCGAACATCTCTCACACCGATGTTTTTCTTGTTTTTTTTCTTTTACACTCATGTCTACGCAACAAAAGCAAAACTGAACAATGTTAAGGGGTTTAAATAAGAGAACATTCAGAGTCTGCAGCGGTCCGTCTTTGACAATTTGTGGGTCTTTCCCGGGAGTCGCCATCAAACCCTCACACTCATGCATCCTCGTTACTTCTTTTCTTTTTTCCGGTTTCCACAGCAGTGCTCCCCGGATTCTGCGGAGGACGAGTCCAGTCGGGACTTACGCGGACAGGCAGTCCAGGGAGTCCAGAGTGAGGAAGACGTCCGCCTTGCACTGGAAGGTGCCCGTCCCGTCCCGCATCAGCTCGCAGCTCTTCAGGTTTGGAGAGATGTCCTTCACGCAGATGGCCTGAATGAGGCGAAAATGACAGATGAGAGAATTTAAAGGCAAAAGACGAGTCCTGTTTAACCAGCCTGAAAACTTACATTTCACTGATTTCCACCGATTACATAAAATCATGCAGACTAAAATAATTAATCCTGGAGTTAGGGATGTAATCAGTTTAGATTTAGTTAAATATGCGATAGCAGTTTTATTAAAGCTGACCTTCAGCGCCCAATCATTTCATTTTTCTGTTTTCTTTGTTTTTGTCTTTAAGATATTTAAAAAAAAAAAACCCAAATATATCAGGAGTATTAATTCAATCTCATCCTGATTTTTTTTTTTTTAAATTTATTTTATTTTTAAGATGTCAAACTTTCAGCACTAATTAATCGCCAGTGTGCGAGCTGAATGGAAAACAAACTTTACGCGCATACCTTCTTCGTTTTACTCTGAATGGTCATGTTTTAAAGCGCTTCCTAACAAGAATAGCGTTTGTAGTATGTTCTTTTTTGGCACTCACCATGCTTTTGAGGATGGAGATCTGCCTGGAACTCTCCGGGATTACGTTGTTACCGACTGTCTCTCCGCTCTCCATCAGCGTCTCCTCGGAGTCGGATCTCCGGACATACGGTGACCTCCTGATACCGGACAGCAAACCTGAGGCGCGACCAACCGAGTAGTAACTGGGACCGGTGGTCTGCTTGTACCAGGCTTCAACTGAATAGCAGGAGATGAGCAGAGACACTCCAACGCACACCACAGCAAACCTGGCTGATTTCTCCATGTCTGGAACCGTCTTGGCACGTTTTACGCAGAACTTTTCTCGTCAGCGGTGCGTTTGTTTTGCTTGGTGTTCAGGAAACTTTCTGCTGCTTATATAGGCTGACTGGGCGACGTTATCGTGACCCAGGTCGTTCGTCAAATCAGAGCTATGAGGTGGGCGGATGATGATCCATCTTCAAAAGGAGGAAAAAAAACATCCGAATTGATCCGCTCTTGATGGTTTATTGGCGCCACTGGAATGTGTTTGTGTATGTGGTAAGTGATAGAGGGTCATAGGACGTCAGCAAATCTCTGACCCTTGAAGAGGTCAGAGCGAAATTGATTAACATCAGTCGACCGTGACAGACACTGACACTGTAGTCAAAACACAACAGACACCGGATACCGACAAATTAAAGGAAGACACCTTGTATTTCACTGATTCATTCCTAAAAGAACTCTACTTGAGCGACAGGTGGTTTTCTTTTTTCCCCTTTCCAAAAGATATTTCCGGATTTGTCGTTTTGTTGATGGTTGTTGAGATGCTGCTTAAGAAGTTGGTTGAAAATCCCTCAAATGTTCAGTTAGAATCAAAATTGGTAAGTGTGCAGGTCTCAGCATATGATTCACATCATTCTCGTGAAACTACTGAGTCAGTGCCCCCTTTGGATGAGGAGCTTTGTCATCTTGGAAGAAGCAGTCATCTAAGGGAATAAGTGGAGTGAAACCATGCCAGCAAAATGCCGCCCACAGCATAACAGAATTACTGAATAACCTCACTTGAGGGGTAAAGGGTTCCAATTTTTCCTTCAATAAATCACCCAGTAATTAAGTGTGTGTGTGTGTGTGTGTGTCCGTGTCCGTGTCCTAACTGCACGTATTTATTACATCACAATGTAAAATAATCAGACTGACCAATTTTCAGAATTTCTTGGTTGAGTTTTCACATCAGTGAAAAGTTACGATTCATTACTTCATTCACAGAAATCAGCTCCATCAAGCAAAATCAGAGCAAAGGGCTTCAAAATCTTGAATTGAAGTAAAGGCAGATGGATCAGGAATGACAAGATGAGCCGATCGATGGGTGAACGAGTTTTAACAGCTTCCTACAAGGATTTAACGAACCAGTCTGACTTCAAAGTGGATTTCATAGGAAAAACGGTCCTATTTCAACAGAACCCATTTCGAGATTGATCCGCTGACATCACCAGTCATGCGTCATGAACTCCACCACGTCTTCAGTTACCAGATCAATCTATCAACAATAACAAAAACAGTTAAATGGTGTCTAAATATGTTGCCTTTCTATAACTCAGGGTTATGGTGAGAGTCTGGATGAAAATGGTGAAAATGAACCTTAAATGTACAGAGACGGAGAAAAACGATGAGCGATTAAATTATGCAGTAAAATAAAGCGGACGGTACAAATTAAAGCAACTGAAATTGTTTATTTTAAGCATTAAAAGCATCACTCACATACAAAATTAGAAATAAAAATAAACATATTGTATTTTACAAAGTAAATGTCCTCATCCATAGACCTTTATCAGTCAAGATGACTGAAGGTACCATTAGGGTCCCTCATAGTCCATTGTAAAGTGGTCTGCAGTGCGGCTCCAGTTTGTCCTCCAGGACATAGTCTGGTCCACAGACCCAGGGGTCGCCAGTCTTCCACTGCCACTTCTGCAGATCCTGCTTCAGGCTCTCCAGCACGCCGCTGTAGGACGGGTCTGACACCAGGTTCTTCGTTTCCAGTGGGTCTGTCCTGCGTTAGCGATGCAATTATTAATATTTAAACATTTTAGAAAGACTGAGCTCATAAGCCACAATTACTCACTGCAAATCCCTCCATCTAATGCAAAAATAATGAGTTATATTTACTAAAATGACTAGACTATAGCAACTATAGCTTCTGTTAGTTTTATTAAAATTAGTCATTTCTTCAGGGAAATATGTTGGCGTTAAACTGTTGAACCGTTCAGGGTTTAACATGAATCTCACCCCACGACACATGTGATAGGCTACAGCTTCTCCACAACCCTAAACCCAGTAAGAGAATGGTTGCTTTGCCTCCATTTCTAGTGAAAATAATAAGCATTTTATTGGCTAACATAATATCTGACTAGTGTTTTTTCCCCCACACATTACATTTAAAAGTACTAAACATAGCCTATGAATGAAACCAACTTTTACCTCTTAAAAGCTTAATATTACCATCAAATACTTTTTTAAAGTGCACTACATATCTACGTTTAAATAAGGCGTTTATGTTGGTATATAATTAAAATATATATATATTAATTAATTAAAACCTTCAGGTCAACAGTCATTAGCACAGCAGGAAAGAAGAGTAAGAAATGAATGGTGAAATAAATTATGACAAGTAATAATCCGTTAAAATGTTCTTATACAAGTGTATGCCTTCATTATAGTGTGTTATAAGTCATTCATTAAATGTTTTTATACTGTGCATTCAATCAGGTTGTTGAAAATCAGTTTTAAATTAAGCTAAACGTGGTTTTCAAAGCCAATCTGTGGTGTAGTTTTAGACTATCAATAGTGTTCATTATTGGAGAAAAAAGAAACTTGATTACGTTTGTGCTCGTTCACTCTTCAGCTAACAGTCACCTTCATCCGTTGTTATGAATGTCATCTTTAAAAAAGCTTTACACTCTAAGAAACTGAGGGAACAGTCTGTTAACGGTCTGATATAAGATGTGAACGATGTGTCTGCAGATGTGGTGGACTCAACTAGCGAACCATCTACGTTTTCTACTCACAACTGATTAACCTCAGTGTAAAAGTCACAGCAAAGACGGTGCTGCTGATTTTTAGTGTGAAAGACGGCACAGCTCGTTATCAACATCCTCCTCAGTTTTTCACTTGTTACTGCTGCAGTGAAAAATTACGGACACACAAACCGTGAAATAAAAAGCTTTAAATGGAAACAGCCTGCTATTTATGTGTCGCATTTTTTTTAGTGACCGATCAAAGTGCTTCGAAAGACGAGTTGCATTTGACCAGTACATGTTTCTTCTGTACTCTAAGCACTTTATCCTTCTCACATCCACAGCAGATTGAGAATCACCAATTAACCTAACATGCATGTCTCTTTCTGTGTTGTTGAATATGTGGGTGGAGGGCAGGAGATTCATGCCAGGAATCTTTACCATCAAATGCAACAGTGTTTGGAAAAAAAAAAAAAGAAAAGAAAAAAAGTTTTAAATACTGATAGATCACCAAAAAAAAATCTGAACAATCATGGCAAATAAAATTTGCTCAACACGTGATTCTTGTTCTGTTTTTGACCTCTGCTCTTTGTTTGCTGAGACAGAGTTGTTATCGCTAAATCAGCTGTTTTAGGTTTATCTCACTGGAATCGGTGGATGCCCCAGTCATCCACTGATCAAGGTCAAGTATTGTGATCCACTTTTCCATGAGGACCTTTTAACTCCCGTCCTTTGCAGGGACTGATACTTATCAGGAATAAGGTTGTGTTTGCTTCTCTGGATCAGCTCTAACAAAGCGAGTGACAGCAGCTGTTACAGACCTGGTGTCGTACAGCTCCCAGCGAGCTCTGTAGTAGTACTGCTCCAGGCTTTTAAACCAGTGTGTCGGCTGACTCAGCGTGGTGCGGTTCAGCAGGTCCTGAAAGGTGGGCGACACGTACAGATCTTGATCAATAGGGAAGGGCATACGGTAGTGCAGGTTGTGCAGAAGGTGGTACGGCACCTGGTGAATAGAGCGAATCGGGTAGTACATGGTGACCTGAAATCACAGCAAAAGTTTTAGTTAAAGACATTTTATTCTCTCATTAAAGTGTTGCTGTCATGTTTTTCTTGATTTTCTGTCTTATTAATACTTTTGCAACAGCGAATTTAAAATAAAGATGTCAGTGTACGTGCAATTAATCCTTCTGAGCCAAAAGCTCCACACTGCTCTAAGCACTTGGTTTTAGACTTTTGTTCCCTACTCTTGGCTCAGTGTGAGTCCAGTCAAAGCAGATATTCTTATATGGTTGTGTCAGGCTTACAACTCTAGCTGTAAGCACAGCAGCCCACTGCTGTTCAAACTTTTAGCTTGTAAGGGGCAGCCAATCAGAAAAAGGTTGGCTTCAAGTAAGAGGAGCGAAAATAGCTCATCATTAGTTTAGATAAGGGAATATTTTAAACTGAGTTCAAGCAAGGCTACCACCGTAGAGTCCAAAATAAAAATTTAGAGCTAGAAATAAAAATGATTCATCAAGCTAAAGTGGTGGTGATGTCCTGACCTCATGCAGGGACTGGCTGGAGTAGACAGTGTGCCAGCTGGTGGGCTCAGTTACCAAAGCAGGGAGTAACGAGCGGCCAGTGAGGTGGACCTGGGAGGCAGGGGTGCCAGGTAGGCTGTAGGATGGGTAAGGAACAGAGAACCAGTCGAGGATGGTGGGAGTGATGTCTGTAAAAATAAAAAGGAAAAGAAAAGATAGTAAAAACAAACAAAAAACTGACAAATGTTCAACTTAAGTTACTAATAATTAAAGGAATTCTTAAAAAGGCACACAGACCAAAATATAAGACCCCTTAGCTTTAAATAGTACATTTTAAACTAAGGGATACCCTCATATTTATACAACACCGTCAAAAGAAAGAAAAAGAAAGCCACATATCTCTGTATTTTTGTTAGTATTTGTTGATAGGTTGCGAAAATACTTCTACCCCTACTTGTACAGTCTATTACTCTATTATTTTTCCTTCTATCAATATTTCATGCTCTGTTGTTAAGTCTCCATCTAGTGTCTGCTTCAGATCAACACACCGACTCTTCTGCTCTGTCACTCTTTACTGGATCGTAATTATTAGAACTTTTTTATTGTTTGTTATTCACAATCCAGAAAGGTTTAGGAATGAGTGGCATCAGTATTTAACTTTAACCTGCAGCTCACTCTGTGCTCATAATGGATAGCTGCTTAATTTTAAGGCCTAAAATACTGAGAAAAGGTCCATTTGCATCGTTCCTTGTATCTTCAATTTTCTTACCCAGCAGGCTGACGTAGGCCTCGCTGGTGTCTCCCCATCGCTCCCTGTGCTCCGGAGAGGACACCAGCATCGGCTCTGCCGTTCCAGAGTGATAAAGGTTGGTTCTGCCATTCGGGAAGGGGATCCCGTTGTCTGAGCTGTAGATTATCAGAGTGTCGTTCTCATAACCAGCTTCTCTGAGCTCCTGAAGAACTAAACCGATACCTGCAGGGGATATGCGCAGCATCGTAGTTTAGTGTTTTACAACCTTCTTTTTCTATGTTATAAAACCGTTACGCACCCTGATCCAGCCGGCTCACTGTGGTGTACAGTGCAGCCAAGTCAGCTCGTGATGCAGGTGTATCCGGCACAAAAGGAGGAACCTGAAGTGCACAAGATGAGGAAATTCTGCATTATCATGTGTTAAAGTTCTGTAGCTTTAATTCAACCATCATGGTAACGTGAAAAGTTAAAAAATAAAATAAAATAAAAAAAAGAGTAAAGACTAAGACAAACTGGGAGATAAGAAAAAGCTGTGGAAAATTTGGGCATTTGGAAATTTCTGTTAATTTCAACTGCAGCCTGTGCAGGCTGTAATGCAAAGCAGCAATGAGCTCAAGACCAAATCTTAAATGCTTTATCTGGTGTTTGGTCAAATATGAAGTCCGTGATAAAACCATCATCGATGAGTACTCCGTTTAGAATTTATTGTTAGGCGAGTACGTCATGAATGAACCCACATTTATTAACATTAATGCACTCCCAAAGCACGTAACTGTAACTACAGCTAATTCTGACATTTAAACAAACTTTTGACTTGGTGTGAAAAATATGGCATCTGGCCAAAACAGTCCTAACTTTTATACAACTTAATCAGTCAGATGGTTTAAACCAACGGTCTCCAACCTTTTTTGCGCCACGGACCGGTTTATGCCCGACAATATTTTCACGGAACGGCCTTTAAGGTGTCACGGATAAATACAACAAAATAAAACTAGTACCGGTACCGAAAAAAAGAAAATTTATTCACAACACACGTGAAAAGACCAAGGAAAACAGTAAACGATGAAAACGATAACAAAATAACGCTGAAAACCGATAAAAACCCTGAAAACTATACATTTCACACCTGAGCCTCAACTCTGGGGACCGCTGGTTTAAACAGTTCTCAGAAAAACCTGAGTATATGTTTTGTTTAATTTCATTTATTTATTTATTTATTGTCTTTAGTTTCCTGTAACAAATGACTTGACTCACTCATTTCGTTTGAATGAGCAGTTTTGCAGAAATCTGCACAGCCACATTTTAGGCACAATCCCAGAAACAAAAACACACTACTACAGTAAACAGTTTTGTAATAATTAAAGAAACACTTTAACCAGAGTATAGCATCAAGCCAACCTCTGGGATATTGATCTGGAGCCCTACAGCAGGCTCATGACGGTGCACTGAGGGCTTAGTGTACTCTAGTTGGTCCTGTGCTCACTGCCCGGCACCATAGAGCCTGACTGTCATTTACTATAAAATGCCAAAATTTAAGTCCACCACTGTCACCCTGTACTTTTCATTAATGAGAACAGGCTCATGCTGAGCACATGTGACAGACAGGAATGGGTTTGGACAAGTTGGAGAATAATGCTGCCTGTAATGTTGTTCAGCATGACCAGTTTGGTGATGGTTCTGTGATGGTCTGGGGAAGCATATCCATGCAGGCTAGGCAACGGCACACACAGTACAATGGCACAGTGGTTCCTGGGTTCCTCCAGTTGCACGACAAAGCCTGGCTTCATGTGGCGAGAGTATGCATGCACTTCCTGGAGGATGAAGTAACTGATACCACCGACTGGGCCCCTAAATCCGATAGAACAACTCTGGTATGTTATGTTTCAGGCTATCTGATGCTGCCAGGTTGCACCTCAGACTATCTAGGAGCTCAGTGATGTCCGGGTCCAGATCTGGAGATCAGGAAATTCCTAATGATACCATCTACCATCTCAGTAGGAGCATGCATACAACAATGTCAGCTGCTGCAATGAAATTTCAGCAAAATGGACTAGCCTGCTTTGATTTTATAGCCTTTTTCTTTTTAAAACAGTTAAATAATGACATAAAACAGGTATTAAAGCAGAAACTGGGATTTTTCTGACCTTTACTTGGTCTGGCGTGTAATACTGTGGTGTCCAGTCAGGGATTCTACCCATCCCCTTTTCACCATTCCCAAACTTCTCACAGAAGGCTCCGTATTGGGGCTGCGAGTGTCCACATCGATGAGTATCATGGAAGGCAACATAAAGGAAAAATGGCCTGTCTTCATTCTTTATATTCTCCCGGTTACTTTTTTCTGCTTCTTTCCCGTTCTTTCGTTGAAAGGCTTCCTCTTTGTGAGTCTGGAAAAACTTGCGGACCAGGAGTTTAATGCGAGTGATGTTCCTCCCCACCTGGAGGACAGAGCTGTTTTCCTCTGTGTAGGCAAAGTCAAAGGGGTAGACAGATCCAGGGCCAACGTGCTTCTTTCCAATTATACCTGTGAAGAAACAATCAGTGAGTTTAAAAAGTAAAAAATAAGAAAGATTTTTTTTTATAGACATGAGAAAAACGGGTCATTTTGTTATCTACCTGTGTGTACGTTGGTTTGTTTGAGAAGCAGTGGCAGACTTTGTACTTCATCAAAAGAATTAAAGTGATGGACTCCTTGATGAAGTCCATAAATGCCATTCTGATGCTGGAAACCACAAGAGAAACACACCTCAATAATTCACCTCGCTTTAATGAGAGGCATTTATAGGTGTGTGTGTCTCACCTGTGGCAGGCCGGTGAGGATGGCGGAGCGGCTGGGTGAGCAGCTGCTGACAGATGTGAAGGCGTTCTTGAACACCACGCTGTGCTGAGCCAGAGAGCGCAGGTGAGGCGTGTGGACCACAGAGTTGTTATAAACCTCTGTCTCGAAACCTGCATCATCAGCTGTGAGGAGAAAAAGACAGAAACTGATGCGGGGGCTCAAACAAAATGCCCATAACTCACTTTTAATAATCTCTAAAATCTTTGTCATCTACATACTGCTTTGCAAAGTCAGTAGGGTAATGAAACCTGGCTTTGAGTCACAATTGCAGTTCTTCTCAGAAGTACAGGATGGGTTTAAGGTTGGGGTTCAGTGCAGAGGATTTAAGTAGGAAAAGTGTTTCTTGGTGGATCAGGCTTCATGTAAAGAGACACTGACATTTTTCTTTTTCCCTGAGTATAGTTTTCATTTTTTTCCAATTGTTTGGCATTTTCTGACAGATCATTTTAGATTAGTTTTACTTTAAACATATTCCTTCATAGAATATTTGTACGATAATAAAATCTACTTGCATGAAGGTTAAAACGGCTCAACATTGTAACATACAAACAGACTTCTGCCTCATATTTAGTTTGTTTGGATTTAGTCAACTTAATTATTTTATGTTATGGAGAGAGGTTCTACTAATAAACAAAATAAAACCAACTGCCTAAAACACTTATAACCTCCATCATGCACTTTCAGTACTGTGCAAATCTCGTGCCTCTACTTATTTCTATATACAGAGTTTATACAATCCAAAAAGTCAATATTTGGTATGACTATCTTATTTCTTCAACACAGCCTGAACTGTCTTGGGCAAGCTTTCTTGTAATTTTTTTTGAGCAGTCTTCAGGAATCATTCTCCAGGCTTGAAGGACATTCAAAGCTGTTCTTTTGCACTGTTCCCTATCACTATAATGATAAAGTCTCTGGGGAGGCCGATCCATGACTGATGGTACTCCAGTATGTGTTTTTCTATCCAGGCATGCTTTCACTGCATTGTCGGTGCATTTGAGATCATTTGATCATCCTGAAAAATTAAAGCTGTTTTTAGTAAGACGCTTTCTGCATCCATCCCAGTGTCCATCAGTTTTTATGATCCCCAACTGCAGCTCCAAACCATGACAGAGCCTGCACTGTTACAGATAGCTGTTGTACCTCTCCCCTGATCTTCTCTGTAAATACTAACAATGATTTGAACCAACAATCTCAAATTTGGATTTGAGACTGTTACTGCTGATTTTCAGTTCAATTCTTGTGTAATTTGGTGTACTTAAGCCTTTTCCCCATGTAGCTTTCATTAATCATTAATGCTGTAGATATTTTTTTTTAAGCCTGGCACTTTTAAGTGGATTGAAAATGAGTGAACAAGCAGTCAATGTCCAATGAAAAACTTCGGGAACTATTGAATCTCTGTTATATAACGAATTTAAGGGTGGCTCGAGATTTTTGCAGATAATTGTAATGGCAACAGGAGGGTGTATTTCAGCATTTTAAATTTCCAGCCAGATAACAGAAATGATTTATAGTTTCTCCAGGAGCACAAAAACGTGAACTCACCAATTATTAGAAGAACATTTCTTGTTTTGGACTCTCCGATGCAACATGATGCTAAAAAAATAATAAAAACAACCCGAGGGAGCATGCTGGCCTCTTCCTCTATTTCTCCACAGAAAAATAAACTTTAAATATGAAAACAAAACTCGCTAAAGTTAGCACTTAAAAGCATTGTTGGAACGACGTGAAATATGCTTCCTCAAACAACTCAAACCCCGCCCACTGGGAGTCACATGACACAAGTCACGTGAGGAGAAAAAAAACAGGAAACGACTTATTTTTTTTTTTTTTTTTAAAACAGGAAACGACTTATCTCGCGCCTAGTCAGCGCAATGTTTTTGGAGAAGTGGGTTTAGCAAAAGGAACAGTAGAGAAGCACGTGAAAAATCACAGCCCAGCCAAGAGAAAGCATCACGCTGTGTAAGAATTTATGTTTTATTCAACTCTATTCTATTTTATTTACTCTTTTCTACTTTATTTTGGTCTGTTCTTGTCTATTTTAGTCTATTTTGGTTCAGTTCGGTTAAACACTGCGGAGTTATTTTATATTATATTGTCAAATTTCTATTTTATTCTGTTTTGTTTCATTTCTGTAGTATACGAATTCAGTCTCTTCTGTGCATTCTTCTCTCTTGCACCCAAACACATCACTGTTTTTAGTGTATTATCATTCTTTTTTGATAATTACAAGGTTGTTATAGTCTGGGTAACATAGACTCATAATCAGACACAGTGGGAGATAAAGTATCAGTCTGAGGTCAAGTTCACGTAAGACTGTGGACCTATCTGTTGGACTTTTCTGATGAGGGAGTTTATAGTTTGAAGGTAAAGGTGACTTCATGAAAAAAAAAAAGTCCTGACTGTTCAGATACCGGTATGCAAAGCACCCAGCTGTCATATGATCGCCATATAATTGTAAATGACACACAGTGAGCTTGTGAATGGTTCTTTTTTTGTGTGGCACGCAGATCACAGCATGCACCTGAAGATAAGTCCTCGGCTTGAAGAAATGCAAACAAACAGGTTGACAGCTGCTTGCATGAGCAGCATCTTTGTGGCGTTTTCCTGAATGCTGCATATCTCAGCAGGAGGTAGGAAATAAAAGGAAAAAACAGAAACTTGGGCAGCACCCAGCAAAGCTGATGATATTTAAAGCTGAGGGGAGAACTCATGCTTTGTGTGTGGCTGTTGTTTTGTTCATTTTACTTTTTTCTGCTACAGATGTCTCTTTGCTGAATTCCTCTCCCGCCAGTCTTTACCTCTAAGTGTGATGCAGCGGCGTCTGATGAGAAGACAGTCAGCCCGGTGCTGCTGTTCCTACAGCACCCTGAAGGCCTGGTTGCCCATCCTCTCATGGCTGCCAAAGTACAACCTGAAATGGCTAAAGATGGACGTCCTTGCTGGTCTCACTGTTGGATTGACGACTGTACCACAAGCGCTGGCTTATGCTGAAGTGGCCGGCCTTCCTGTGCAGGCGAGTCTTAGGCTTTCCATTAGGGTTCACCTCCCTCTGGATAACTAATTTGGCTTTCCTCTTTTCCTGAGACATGAGCTTTAAGATGAAAAAATAATTAGCTGCATAATTAGTTCAGACTTTATTTTATTTTCTGTCCACAGTTCGGACTCTACTCGGCCTTCATGGGGGGGTTCATTTACACCTTTCTGGGAACCTCCAAGGATGTGACCCTGGGCCCCACGGCCATCATGTCCCTCTTGTGCTCCTCTGTGGTGGGAGGGCAGCCTCACCGAGCCGTGCTGCTCAGCCTCCTCTGTGGACTCATCCAAGCTGTGATGGCGTTACTGAGATTAGGTGAAATGAGTGCTCCCGAGGTCATGTGGAAAGCTTGTGATTTCAGTTTTGGGCTTTTCCTGAAAAACTTGTGAACCACTGACAGCAAAACAAAATATTTTTTCACACTAACACACATTGTTGTGTGAGTCTGAGAGCACTGGTAGTTTATCACATCCTCCAGTATGTAAAATTTAAGGTGAAGTCCAAAAGTAAAAACAACATCACAAAAATCGAGTAACTATCATGTAGGAACTTAAATTTTAGAAGTAGACAGTCTACTATAAAATCTGTGGCTCTTAAATAGTCATCTGTTCATCCATTTTATTAGCCACATATCCAGTTCAGGGTCGTACGGAGCTGGAGCCCCCTCACTGCTTTCATATGGTGTGACGCAGGATACACCCTGGACAGGGATGGCACAGAGAGATAGCCATTCATGCTCACATTAACATCTAGGTTAGAATTGCCATCACCCGACCAAGCATGTCTTTGGACTGTGGGAGGAAGCTAGAGTACCTGGAACAAACTCCACAGGCACAAGGAGAACATGAAACCTTGTCTCATGTTCTCCTTGGACAGGACCCAATCCAAACTTAATTGTGCTGCGGGTTATTTTTAAATGACTTACTAGTCTTGTGTCATTTTACGGTAAAATGTCAATGAATGGGCAGCCTACGAACATAAGCTCCTTATCAAATGAGAATTTATATTTTTTCCTTAAAGAGTTACTGTAATATTTGAAATCTGGAAGGTTTAATAATGTCTTGGTTCTGTAAATCATCCACTGCTTTGCTTTGCTTCTCTTCTGCAGGTTTCCTTCTGGACTTCATCTCTTTTCCTGTAATAAAAGGCTTCACATGTGCTGCTGCAGTAACCATTGGATTTGGCCAAGTCAAAGTAAGAGTGAAAACATGCACACACAGCAAAAACTAACACACATACATAGAGTTATCTCAGCATATACAACACATCGAACTGTATGCCTCAGTAGGAAAAAAAAGTCTTTAAAAGAATGAAAAGATAAAAAGTGAGTCTTTATTAAAACAAAGCAGAAAGGAAAATATTACATAAATAAACACGCCAGGATGGAAATGAGACCAGAGAAAACAGGAAGGCATAACAGATGACACAACAAAGAGCAAGGGCCAAACTGAGGGTATAACTGCACCAAGGCAGATTAGGGGAACGTGGAACAGCTGGGGCAAATAAACACAGGTGTAAATAATCGACACAATGAGGCAGGGGGAGAAAGTAAGACTAAACACAATGTAAAGGAGACAAAATGGTATCAAAATAAAACAGGAAGAGAGGCACAATAACTAAACTGCAGACAGAACTAGCCTAAACGTAGGGGAACTGGCATAGAAGGAAAAGGTAGGAAACAGTAATTTGAACTAAATGCTCAAGACTGAAACGCTAAGGGAGTACACAAAGGTGAAAGTCTAAACCAAAACCAGCAAACTAAAGATAATGAAAAATAAACAGAACTTGAAAAGACCAAAAAACACAAAACGCTGGGTAAAAGACCCAGAATCATGACAGAAGAAGTGCTGAAAAATACACTGAGAAGCACACAGAATTTAAAAAAAAATCTCTAGAATGATCAAAACTAGCTTATTGGCATCTAAGAAAATAGAAAAGTCACCAGAAAGCACCACAATAATGATTTGAGCATTGGGTCGACCAGTGGTTAGTACTGTTGCCTTTAAGCTAAAAGGTTGTGTGTTTGAATCCACCTGCTGGGTCCTTTCTGTGTGGAGTTTGCATGTTCTCCTTCTGCCTACAAAACTCCTTATTGCTTTTTTATTTTTTTTTTACTAGCACAGGCTCTGATGTACATTCCCGCTCTGCTTCAGTCAGGTTCTTGTACTTCTCTGCGGTTTAGCCTCTTAATAAAACACTTAAACACAGCAGTCTGCTCTCTATAAACTAAGCACATGGCTTTACCTCTGACTTTAGTAAATAAATATTTGAAAAGTCTGTGTCTTAAAACTCTATATTCTGCATCAGTGTTTCTTTATTAATTAATGCAAGTTGAAATCTCTTTGCTTGCACACGCATACATAAAATACAATAAAATTAATAGTTGCCTTCAAAAAAAAGAAAAGGAAAAAAGTTGTGGTGTGGTTTCCCACAAAAATCACACCTATCAATTTCCCATTGACCTCATGCAGACAGGTCAAAGATGTGACTGGTGAGCACTATAATCTGTGTTGAGCTTTTACTGGTGGATTTGCATCATTGTTGGTGAACTGATTAACAATAAATGGTAAATGGTCTGTATTTGTATAGCGCTTTATTAGTCCCTAAGGACCCCAAAGCGCTTTAAACATCCAATCATTCACACACTGGTGATGGCAAGCTACATTGTAGCCACAGCCACCCTGGGGCGCACTGACAGAGGCAAGGCTGCTGGACACTGGCGCCACCAGTAGGCAACAGGTGAAGTGTCTTGCCCAAAGACACAACGACCAAGACTGTCCGAGCCAGGGCTCGAACTGGCAACCTTCCGATTACAAGGCGACCTCCAAACTCTTGAGCCACGATCGCACACGCGAATGTTTAGGTTATACTCAAAAGTGCATTTTGACTGCTCTGAGTGCGTAAACTCCAAAGAGAGAACTGCTCTTGCCCTCTCATTTTCTGTTCATAATGTCAGTGGTTTTACCTGCTCTTCCTTTTTTTCTAGAATATTCTGGGAATCCAGGGTGTCCCTCAGCAGTTTTTCCTGGAGGTTTACTACACCTTCCACAAGATCCCTGAGGCCAGGATCGGTGATGTGGTTCTTGGTCTGATTTGTCTCGCTCTGCTGGTCACGTTGATGTTCATGAAGTCGAGTCTAACCTCTGACAGTGACTCCACCTGCTCCATGTATGCCAGGAAAGTAGTGTGGGCTGTAGCTACCAGTGAGTACCTTTGTGTTTGAGTACACGTGTCTCTCTTTTACAAAAAAAAATATTCTGTTCATTACATTTTTATTGTATTTCTTTATATCATCAGTGCGTAACGCTGCAGTGGTCATCGCTGCATCCCTCATAGCATTTTCCTGGGAGGCGTATGGTAATCACGTCTTCACGATCACTGGAAAAACTACCCGCGGACTGCCACCATTCAGGCCTCCACCCACCTCTGACACTACAGCCAACGGCACCGTCGTTTCCTTTGGAGAGATTGTGAAAGTAAGGAGGAAACCGCCAGTAACCCGATGAAGACACTGGATCTTTTTGATAAATGATTGAGCTGAAAGTTTCACTTCCAGAATCCCTCTGCTCTCAGAAAGAGCTGCTGACTGTCTCGTCTTCCTCTCTGTGTGTTTTAAAGGACTTTGGAGGAGGGCTAGCGGTGATCCCCTTCATGGGCCTGTTGGAGAGCATTGCTATTGCGAAAGCATTTGGTAAGTAATGTTAATCACTGGTTTCAGAGGATAATCATAATGATGCTG